TTTTTTGTGGTATAGGGTTTGAATTCAGGACCCTATGCTTGCTAGGCACGTGCTCTGACCACTTGAGCCAGGCCCTCAGCCCATATGGCAACATTTTTAAAACTGAAGACTGAGAGAAAATATTTTCAATAAATATAGCATACAAGTAAATAATTACTGTCCACAATATATCATGTCAGTGCCTATAGTTCATTAAGAAAAAAACACAACATAATAGAAAAATGAGCTAAGGTTATAAATAGGTAATTCACAGTTGAAATGTTAATCATCAATGAACATATGAAACATTGCTTAATTTCACTAGTAATTTTGGGAAATACCAGTTAAAACCATATTGTGATATGATCATAGCCATGATATTAGCAAAAACTTCAAATGTCTTAACAATTACCAAATATTAGAGAGTGAAATGGTTTGTCTAGTAATTTTTTTTTTTTGGTGATACTAGAGGTTGAACGCAGGACCTTATGCTTGCTAGGCAGGCACTCTACTACTTGAGTCTCCCATCCCTTTTTGTGGTTATTTTTGAGATAGGATCTCACTTTTTGCCCAGACTGGCCTTGACCTTGATCCTGGGATGACAGGCATCCACCACCATGCTCAGCTATTGGTTGAAGTCTCAGGAACTCCCCTCTCGTCCCATTGGCCTCAAACTGTGATCCTCCTGATCTCTGCCTCACAAGTACTTGGGATGACAGACATGAGCCACCAGCACCTAGCTCAACAAATATTTTTTTAAGCATTTATTACTGCCAGTCACTGTTCTAAGTCATTGAAATGCATTAATAATGAAAACAGGCTATGGTCTTGCCTCTGTGGAGCTTACATTCTGGAAAGGGAAGACAAAAGATAAACAATAAACATAATAAGTAAATTACATAGAATGTCAGATGGTAAGTGCGTTGGAAAGTGTATCGGTAATAAGTAATATGGTGGAACAAGTAGAGCAGAGTAAGAAGGTAATGGGATAGAAAATAAGTTCAAGATGGGTTTCATTGAGAACTCAGGTGAGAACTGAGCCAAAACTTTGAAGACTGCAAGGCAGTTAGCCAAGGAGATTATTGGGGAAGAGCAGCATTATAGATGGATTAGTTTAAGGCCTGTCAGGCAGAATACTTGTGGTGTGTTAAAGGAGAATAGAGTCCATTATGGCAGATCAATGTATGCAGAGGGGGAGAAGAGGCTAGAGAAATAGTGGAGAGGAGTAGTAAACCACTCTTTTAGGTCTTTATGTGATTTTGGCTTTTGCTCTTTAAAAAATGTCTTAAAGATTATCTTTTTAATTGACAGATGATTGTACATCATTACAGTGTGATATTTTGGTACATACATTGTGTATTGATTGTCTATCATTCAAACATCATTTCTTTGTGATGAGAAAATTAAAAATCTCTGTTAGCTATTTTGAATTATACAATACAGTATTGTTGACTAATTACCTTTCTGTGTAATAGAATACTGTAATTCATTCCTTCTCTCACAGCAGTGACTTTGTACTCATTAATTAATCTTTACCTCATCCTGTCTCCTGTACCCTTCCCAGCCTCAGGTAACCACTATTCTGCTCTACTTCTGTGAGCTTAGCTTTTTTAGATTCCATATATAAGTGAAATCATGCATTATCTTTCTATGACTAGTTTATTTCAGAGTTGCCACAAATGACAGGGATTTTTTTATGACTTTATAGTATATAGATATATTTTAAATTTTTTTCGAAGAACCTCGAAACCATTTTCTAGTGATTGTACTAGTTTACATTCTCACCAACAATATAAGACTTCCCCTTTCTCCTCATGCTTGCTGCAATTGTTATCTCTCTCTCTGTGGTACTGGGGATTGGGCCTAGGTTTGAAATGCTCTGCCACTTGAGCCACACCCTCAGCTCTTTTGTCTTTTGATAATAGCCATTGTATCTTCCTGATAATAAGTGATGTGGTACATTTTTTTCATAAACTTATTGGCCATTTGTAGGACTTTTTTTGGAGGGGTGGTACTAGGGTTTGAACTCAGGGCCTTGTGATTGCTAGGCAGGTACTCTACTCATATGCCCCCTTTTTTGCATTAGTTGTTTTTCAGATATGGTCTCTTATTTAAGCCTGAGCTGGCTTGGATGGTGATGCTCCTGTATATTCTTCCCACATAGCTGGGATGGCAGGTGCATGCCACCATGTTTAGGTTTTTATTGGTTGAGACGGGGGTCTCATGAATTTTTTGATTAGGCTGATCTCAAACCATGTTCCTCCAGATCTCCACCTCCTGAGTAGTTAAAGGGATGAACCACAGTGCCCAATCTTTCAAGAGGTGTTTATTCTTTTTTTTTTTTTGGTGTTACTAGGCAGGCTCGCTACCACTTAAACCACTCTGTTAGCCCTGTTTTTGTGTTAGGTGTTTTCAAGATAGAGTCTTGTGAACTGTTTGCCTGGGGCTGGCTTCCAACTATGATGCTCCTGATCTCTGCCTCCTGAGTAGCTAGGATTACAGGTGTGAGATGCTGACGCCCAGCTAAGAGGTGTTTATTCATTTTAAATTGGATTCTGATAGATTATTTCACTTTTTACTGGTGAGGGTTTTTTTTTTTTTTTTAAATACATTCTGGATATTAACCCTTTGTTAGATGTACAGTTTGTGGAGATTTTCTTCCATTTTGCAGGTTGTCTCTTTTTAATCTGTTGATACTTCTTTTGCTATGCAGAAACTTTTTAGTTTGATATAACCCCATTTGTCTATATTTTTCTTTTGTTGTATCTGCTTTTAGGTTTTATTCAAATATTCCTTGCCTTGCTAGGTGTGTCACAACTACTTGGGAGGCTGAGGCAGGAGAATCATTGAGCCTAGGAGTTTGAGACCCACCTAGGCAGTGTAGTGAAACCCCATCTCAAAACAACAATAATGAATAGTTCTCGCCTATACCAGTGTCACAGAGCATTTCCCCTGTGTTTCCTTCTAGTAGTTTATAGTTTGGGATTTTATATTTAAGTCCTTAATCCATTTTCAGTTGATATTTGTCTGTGGTGAAAAGGAGGGGTCTGGTTGTTTTTCACATGTGGACATCTCAGTACCATTTGTGAGTGTCCATGTCCAAATGCATGTTCTTGGTGCCTTTGTTGACAATCATTTGGCTACACATATGGGTTTATTTATTGGTTACTATTCTGTTCTACTTTTATGCTGCTGCCATGCTGTTTGATTGCTATAGCTTTGAAGTGTATTTTGAAGTTTAGGAGTGTGATGACTCTAGCTTTGTTCTTTTTTTTTTAAAAAACTTGAGTGAAATAGCAGAAATGTTGTGATCTAACTTACCTTTAATACCAGCTACTAGGGAGGCAGAGATGGCCAGCAGGTTTTTTTTTTTTCCTTTGTAACCTTTTTTTTGGGTGGGTGGGGCACACTGGGTTTGAACTCAGGGTCTCACGCTTGCTAGGCAGGTGATCTTACTGCTTCTGCCACTCTACCAGCCCTTTTTGTAACTTCTTTAGCAGTAAAACTTAACTTGAACTATTCTGGTATAAAAACTGAACTATACTGAACTATAAAGTATTTACCACATTTGTTGTGACTATCATACATTTTTCTGCAGAAATTTTAGTGTACCCCAGTCCTTGTTGAGAGTGTTATTATGTATACATGAGCATTCCCATACACACACTATTACTTTTATAACACCCTCTTAAAAATTCTAATTTCTGAAACATGACTGAATCCGTGGTTTTTGTTACAGAGATTGGGTATGTCTGTGGAGAGAGTGAGAAATGGTTGTATTCTGGATGTATTTTAAACTTAGAGCATTTAAGAATTCCTAATAAATAGGAGGTGGGCTATATAAAGAGTCCATCTGACCAGAATTTTGGTCTGAACAATCAAAAGAATAGTTTCCATCATCTGAAATGAAGAAAGGCTGTGGGGGTGGAGTCATTTGGTAGAAAGTACTGTTCATTTCTGGACATGTTGGCCTTGAGACATTGAATAGGCAGTTAGTTTTAAGTGTGTGGAAAGAAAACACAAAGTGTTGGAGATGGAGGGTAAATTAGTGCAATGGTTTTGGGAGCAGTTGTGGGATAGCTGATACTTAATGACTTAGCAGTTCTACTCTAAGTTATAATACTTCCAAGAATCTTTATATATAAGTCCTAGAAAATAAGTACAAGGATGCTTATAGGAGTATTATTTTTGATGGAGAAGAAAAACAATGAATTAAGTTTCCATTTATTGCAGAATGAATAAATAAATAAATAAATATTGATATATTTGTCAACTTGACTACTGTCTAAAGATTAATAAACTAGGGTGAAATATATCTACATGGTAGATACATGGTGAATCTACCAGTGTTCATAGTATTGACTGATGTCACTGATATCAACAGGTGAATACCTCTAATATGAGATCATGAATATATATAAATGTATATGTACAATAATTTTGCTAGTATTTATGTATAATAAATAATAAAGACATAAAAAAGAAGTAACAAATTAAGAATAGTTACTAAGAGGGGACTGGTGAGAGGACTTTACACTCTTTGAAAACGAGTCACAGGGGCCCCAGCTGTTATTGCATGAGTTATTTCTCAGGCCAGTGGTGTGTGCTGTTATCTACCTATTTATTTGTCTAAAATATTTTCTGATTAGCCTTACTGCAATCTCATTTCATTCCTTTCATATCCCTGCTGCCAAGATTATGAATACTCTACAGTTCATTAACAGTTAAACATCCATGTAGTGCCTGGAATCTACTCTTGAGGTGATGGTTCCATATAGTGGGAAAAATATTGCAAGTATTCTATGAGACATTCCTTTTAGAAAGGAATAATAAAAAATAATCTTGACTGCTCTTTATTTCATTAAAAATTTAGAGGCAAAGGAAGAGCATATCATTTACAAATATTTAAGTCTTTGCTATTATTAAGATAATGCAATAAATCTCTTAGGCCATTTTAAGCAGACCTACAGGACTCTGATGGGCCCCTATTTCTGTCTAACTTATGTATTTTTGTTTTTCAGAAGGAGTTGAGCCTTCCAAGAAGAGGCAGCTTGTAAGTAGATCATTGTTACCATTGTGATTATGCTTAGGATGACTTGCTGTAGGACCCTGTTGTGAACTTGTTCTCAGTATCCATTAGAGAAATACCACTCAAGAATCTTTTCTGTTATCGCTATCTGAGCACAGAAGCCAGTGGGCCAGCTGACTTCTCCCATTAGGTCAGAGCCTCCTCTCTTCCTACCATGTTGGGATACCTGCCACTTAACTATCCATTACCATCATGTATTTTGGAATTTACTGTGAGTGAGCTATAGTAGACTCAAGCTGAACACATCAGTGTGTTAAATTGAAACTCTTCATCTTAATCTGTCTCCGTTCCACCAGAGGGGAGACCAGTTTTTCTGGAAAGTAGACTCAAGGACAGTTAAGTTTGGAGACTAGGTTGAAATAGTTCCTCAACCTGTTTTATTTTGGCTTCAGGTTTAGGGGAGATTTGGAAATATTCTTTGTCCCTGGGTTTTAATTTCTTATATTTTCTTGGGTTGTTTTTTTTTTCCTAAGAATTCTGTTGGGGCAGTATCGCTAATTTGGCTAATCAGAATCATCTGGAATGCTTGTTAAAAAACAGAATGCTGGGGCTGGTGGCTCACGCCTGTAATCCTAGCTACTCAGGAAGCAGAGAGTCAGGAAGCCAGCCTGGGCAAATGGTTCGTAAGACCCTATCTTGAAAAACCCATCACAAAAATAGGGCTGGTGGAGTGGCTCAAGGTGAAGGCCCTGAGTTAAAGTCCTAGCACCACAAAAACAAACAAACAAACAAACAAAAAACCCAGAATGTAATGGGGTTGTATCTCTTATGAAAGGCTTTTCTGACCTTGCCACACCTTGCAGTCTCTAGACTAAGTTGTTTCTCAGCATATACTTTGGTTAAACTCTGTATTTTCCCTTTATACCCCTTAACGTCAAATGTAAATAGTTATTCATCTGTATTCTACCACTGCATGGTGCTAGGCTGGGTAGCTTAAACATTAACAAAATTATTTTCTGATAATTGTGGATGCTAGAAATCTAAGATCAAGGTACCACCCATAGTCAGTTTCTGGTAAGAGCTTTCTTTCTGACTTAAAGACAGCTAGTTTTTGCTGTGTGCTTACCTGACCTTTCCTTGTTACAGATGCCAGGGGATGGAGGGATGGATCTCTCTCACTTCTTATAAGGCCACCAATGTTATAGGGCCCCACTCTTATGAGCTTGTTTAACCATAATTATTTCCTAAAGATCTCATATCCAAACATAGTCATATTGGGGATTAAAGCTTCAACATATGAATTTTAGGGGAGGGACAGTTCATTCTGAAGATAGTATGTTCCATGAGGTCAGAACCATGTTATATGGAATAATACTCTGTCCCTTAAACCTAGCACAGAACTTAAAAAAATAGTGAGCAATCCATTTGGGTCTATTCCTAACATTGTATGGTATAGAAAAAGAATATAGGGATATAAATGTTTAAGAGTTTTAAATTGAGCTAGCTGTAAAATAAAATATGTTCTATCATATCTCTGGAAATATAGTTTCCTAATAAATGTAAATATGCGAAAAGCTATTGATTAAAAAAATTAGACACATGCTAAACATTTCACTTATTATTAATGAGGGGACCAGATGTAATGGCCAGTCCATTACATGGAAAAGTGAAAATAACAATTTATATGGACTAAAGGAATGTTGAAAAAAATTTACAAGTAGTTATAAAACTGAATTTTTCCATGGGGAGAAGGAAAGTCAGTTGGATCTTTATAGAATTTATTTGCATGTTATTTTTGCATTGCCATCAGTTATACATTATGGAGTTATAAAATTGCTCAAAGGCAATAAAAGACTAGAACCAAATAACCTAGAAGAATATTCTCTAAACAATGCATAACTTTCCTTTGGGAAATGCTGAATAATTCCCTCCCCTTCCCTTTCCTCCCCTTCTCTCCCCTCCCCTCCCCTCTTTTCTCCTCTTCTCTTCTACCCTCCCCTTCCCCTCCTCTCTGCTCCCCTCTTTCCCCCTCCCTTCCCCCTCCTCTCTGCTCCCCTCTTCTCTTCTCTTCTCCTGTCTCCTCCTGTCTCCTCCCCTCTCCTCTCCCCTCCCTCTTATTCCCTCCCTTCTTCCCTTCTTCCCTCTTTTCCCCTCTCCCTCCTCTCTCCCCTCCCCTCCCCTCCCTTCCCCTCCTCTCCTTTCTCATTCCCACTTTTTGATCTAAAATAATCTTAGATATTTTTAATCACAAAACAAGGATAGGTCTTGTTACATTTGGCCTGATTATTTACATAGACTAACAAGAGTTAATTTACCATAATACCTTCTCAAATTTGTTTTGTTCTAAATTGTAAAGAATCTCAGATTGAATTACTTACATTTTGAGGTTCAGAAGTCAAGCCTATGAAACTCTCCATCAGATTTCATCTGCAGTACCTATAAATTTGTGAGAATTCCTCTCTTGTCAAGGTCCCCCATATATTCTATAGGTCTGCCAGGTAGTGACCTTCCTTATGATCTATAAGATTGAACCCTAAAAGCCAGGTACCTGGCCAGTTTTCCTTGGGAAGGCTTTATAAGTATTGGCTCCACAAAGTCAGTCATAATCCCTTTATTACATTTTCTCCCAACATAAGTCAGTATGCCAGAATTTTTAATTGTGGCTGGCTATATTAAGTAAACTGGCTATAAAAACTCCAAGAGAATCTTGAAAAACATTGTAATATTGATCAATTTTAAAATGCTTTTCAAATTAGGTAATACTTCTTTGAATTTGATGTTAACAATATTGAATTGGCAGCGAGTATTAGTGAATTTACTTAACTTGGATGACATAATTTTGAAAATGATATGCTTTGGCTTCAGAGTCAAATCAATTCTTCTAGGAAGATGAGCTAGTTTTGTCATTGACTTAAAGGAAAAGTGATACTTAACCATTTAATTCAGTTACTAGAAAACCTTTAAGTATGTTTAGAATGACTTGATAAGTGATTTATTTTTTTCAACTGTAAATTTTTTTGAGACTAAATACAGATGAAATGTTTATGATGAAAAGTTACTGTGAGGATTGAGATAGACTTATAGTGTAAAATATATATTAGATTTCAAAGACTTGTACAAAATAAGTATATAAAACATCTCAAAAATGTTTATATTAATCTCATTTTGAATATATTGTGTTAAATATCAGTTAATTTTTAAAAAGTTAATTTTTTAAAAAGTTAATATTTGATTAAATGATCATCATTTTCAAATGACATTTTAGGCAATTCCTTGACTGCACAGCCATTTTTTATAATTATATTCTGGTTTTTAAAAAAAGAACAGAGCTTATCTGTGTTTGGGGGTGCGCACTTGTAATCACAGCACCAGGGAAATGGAGGAAATGGAGGCAGGAAGATCATGAGTTTGAGGTAAGCCTGGGCGATACAGCAAGACTCTGTCTCACAGTTTAAAAAAAAAAGAAAGAAATCTTGTTAAATCTGTTCAAATAACTATGTTACCTTGAAAAGTAAGGAGACTCAGTGAGCCTCAGTTCTGGCTCGGAGGAGTCAGTGAGAATCAGATGTGACTTATGTGCTTCATTTTACTAGCACAAAGGTTACCAACTTAAGGGTTTTAAATAGCTTAAGGAAGAGAATGGGGTCCCTGATTTATTTAGAAAATAGACATTAAAATAGTATTTCAAACAAATAACTACAGTCATCCATCCTCAGTTCATTCAGTCCTGTATGTTAATTCTCATTTCACTAGATCATAGGTTAGCAGTTTGCTTTTTGACTTAAAAAGAGTTCTGGAAATTCTGACTCAGTCCATTGGAATGGTCTGGAAGTTCTCCAGTTGTCCAAGCAATGCCATTGGGCATCTGTGCCCAATAATCTGTTCTTTGACATGTCAGTAGTTTTAAATACCTGCTGCTGCTCTTTCCCATAAGAGCTCTGAGACAATCCTTCCTTGAAGGCACAGTCTTTGGCTACTAGATTGCAGAGCCCTAGGACAAGCATCAGCATGAATCAGATGACAGAGATGACAGAGTCTTAAAATAATTGTGGTTAATTTTAATGATCATTTTCAAATGTGGAAGTTCTGATAAAAATTTATAATAATAATATAATTAGGAAGGGAATTAAATTTCTATGTCATGCAAAATAAGAATAGTAAAGCCAATCCAAAAAGTTTTAGCAAAATGTTCTAAGAGTAGTTTTTTCTGAAGAAGACAGTAAATGTTATATATGATATTTGTATATACATATACATATATATATGTAAAACACAGATGAATATAATTTGACAGAAGAAACAATCTTGACATATAATAATCTTGCGACATGATACACATACCAAGAAAATGCCAAAAATATAATTTAGGAATATCAAGTAAAAGATTCAGTGAGATTAGAGATTGGAGTAAATCCTAGAAATCTGTATTTGTTTTGTTTGTTTGTTTCTTTGTTTTAGAAACATGCTGGCCTCAAATTTGTAATCCTCCTTTGTTAGCCTCCCAAGTCCTGGAATTACAGACCTGTGCCACCTTGCCTGACATCTGTATTTTTATAAAACTATGCAGAAGATGCTAGATTCATATTTTAAAAGTAAAGTCATTACCAAATAAGCATTTTAAATAACTGAAATTCACATTGAAGACACTGAATTACTGTTTTCTAAAATCTGGCAAAGCACTATCAGGTGATGGGATATCACCCCATATTATGATATATAAGAGTTTGTCCAGCTGGTAAACTTACTGTAGAATCTGTCCTTACTTTTTTTTTTAAACAGCCATTTTGGGAAAGTCTAGCTGAAAAGGGACTTGAGGGTAGCTTCTAGGACCTGAGGGTAACTTCACTTGATAGCCAGCAAGTAGCTAGGGCCTTTGTCTACAGCCATAAGGAAATGAATTCTGCCTGTTGGCAGAATCTGAGTGAGTTTAGAAGTGGATTCTTCCTGAATCAAATCTCCTTATGAAAAAGCAGCCTAGGTGACATCTTGATTGCGGTTTTGTGGGACCCTATAAGCAGAGGACA